TGGGTCACACCCCAACCATCCCTGCCCCACCACACGGGCAGGGAACAGGGCAGCTGCACCGAACACGAGGTGTTGGCCATCAGCTCTTTCATATCCACAGGGAGCAGATGGTGTTGAGCGCCTTCCTTCCAAAAGGAGCACGTGTAGGAAACCACGCAGTGAGACAAGTTGGTTTATTCTGAGTTTTTCAGTGTTACATTGGCCAAAACACTTCTCAGCTTGTGTAACATTTGTTTTCTACATGCGGGGTTCAGCTCTAGTCAGGCTTGCAGAAAATTACCCACATCAATCCCTAAGGTGGATGAGATTTAAATATATCAGCTTTAGGATGAGGAAGGCTGAATCAGCCCCGCTGGGATTCCAAACTGCCAATTCAGAGAGTTGCAAGCATTGAAGCCCGAGGACATGGTTTTGAACTGCACACTCAGTCATAAATACAGGCCTCAGTGCTCATTATTCCCTACCATAATCAGCCTGGATGCTTTTCTCCCCGTACTTTGCCTTTGAGGGGTAGGGAGTTCATCGATGTCTTAGTGAGATGAATGAACATCCCAGTTCTCATGCCGGAGGAGAGGCAGGAACCGTGAAGGATTTTAGCGATGAATAACCTCAAAGAGTGACTCCTGAGAAATGCTGGAGACACAAGGACGAGGCAGGGTTCTTGCAACACAGATGCCTTTGAGGGAGCTGGAACAAGAGCTGCAGGCACTGACAGACTCTGGTTTCACCTTTCCGCAAGACTCTCGATTTGCACTGAGAATTTCCCTGCAGTGAGGAGCTGTCCTGATGACATGCACAGATTTACTCGCTGTTGAGGTGGGATTACACCCCTAAGTAAGGCTGTAGCAGCAGTGTAATTAGCTGCATAGTGATTGACTTGGACAACACAGAGATTAAAATAAGATGCAACCTGTGCATGTCCTCAGAGAAGATGCTGGAACGTATCCTGGAGAAATGGTGAAACCATTTGTGTCAAAGCCATTTTGGGGCCAGTGGAGGCAAATCACAAGCTAATTAGTCCATCTAGTCTGAGCATGACTGACTCCAGAGGGGTAAGGGCAATTCCTTCCAGCTTCTCTCCCTGTATTTATTTTTATTTTCTAAGGTGGGGAAGCTCAGTAGAAAGATGATGCTGTGGTTACAGCACATGACTGGTTCTGCTTTCATTTCCCAAGTGGTTTGAGGCAAATCACTTCATGCCTCTGTGTTTTTTGTCTTTTTCCCCAGTACAAAATGTCTTTTCTCCCAAGAGACACTTGAAGCTTGAAGTCATTGATTTTAGTGACTTCCGTACGGGATGTGCTGTGAAAGTATTTGAAAGCAATTGAAAGTATGACAAGTAGTGGAGTGAGTCCTCTGAAATCTTGGAGCTCTACATGTGTTCCTTTAATTATTGTGTACAACTAAGCAATAAAGGGAACACTTTTAATCTGCACTTTGTAATAAATATTGAACACTAAAAGCTAAATAATAAACCTCAAAAGCAGGGCATGTAAGCTAAACTAGTAAGAACTGAGCAGGACATTAAAGCTAGATCTTTCTTCTAACCTTTTAGTGCTAAATTACCCAATTTAAAAAAAATCAAAATGTTCATATGACAGAAACATTTTGTCATCAATTCAAAAGTACTCCTGTGTCCCTGGAGGCAGAGACGCTCTATGTGCAAGAGTTAGAATCACAGGGTTTGAATATCCATAGATGTCATTTCCCACTGTGGAATAACATCCTGAATTAGAATTATATAATTAAGCTGGAGAGATTTGTTAAGGATTAATAAATGCTGTCTAACAGATACTCCTCCTCAAAATATCACTTGGCCACAAAGACTTTTTGTGCTTGGGATCATCTTGTATTTGAATCATCTTTGATATTTTTGCCCCAAAAAAGCCAAACTGTGGCTGGCCCATCCCTGGAAGTGTCTAAGGCCAGGTTGGATCGGGCTTGGAGCCCCCTGGGATGGTGGAATGCTCATGGCAGGGGTGAAACTGGACAATCTGAAGGTCCCTTCCCACCCAAACCATTCGGTGGCTCTGTGACAGCCCCTGCCCAGGGCAGCTGCCCCACTGCCTTGGAAGCAGCAGGTCCTGCAGGTGTGGGCTCCCCACAGGGTTCTGGACAGCAGGCAGCTGCAATTTTGGTGTTTGTCACAACAACAAAAGCCACTGGGTCACACGGGGTCTGCTGGAACGAGGAGAGCCCCAGCGAGCACGGCCACACATCCCACAGCCGGGTGGGAGCAGTGCCTTGTTCACCGGTGTGGAAAACTATGGCCCCATAAGCCACGAGTATTGTGAGGAGGAGGAATGGAAACAACAGTGCCATTGAATTGGAAGAATTTCCCAATGGGAGCTCTCTTCCTCTGAAACCCAGCAGCAGAACTGAGGGGCAGATAGGGAGGATGCAGTGAGTTGCGCAGGATGGTGCACGGGGCAAGCAGAGCCGAGCTCCAAATTGCCTCCACACAGCACAGCCAGCTCAGCCCAGCCTGACTTCAGGGCCCCACTCACTGATTTCACCAATGCCCTTTGTTGCTCTGTTGTTTCTTCATCCCACTGGAGAAATCACAATTAACCAACAGTTAATTTAACCTTGCTATCCAGGTTAAATCCCTTACTGCTCAGGCTGGCAGTTTTGAACCTGGTGAGGAGTGACGTCCTGAGAGCTTTGTCATGGCAACATCACCTGCAAAATGGAAAGGGACTGGCATGGGTGCTCTCCAGAGCTGCCTGTTCGTGCATTGCCCTACCCACAGGCTTGTTGTGACCCCAAAAATATCCTAGTTAGGATTTGGGTGCTGTTGGGAGAGCTAAGATGCGAGTAGGGCTTGCAGGAAAGAGCAGCTCCCCTCCAGATCTATTATTTCTCCTTTTCTTATAAATTGGGGTCAGAAGGTAAATGGAACATGCTGGAGCAGGAAAGAGGTGACTGATGGTGGATATTAAAAAGACTCTTTAATTACAGGATTTGGAGAGAGGATTCTTCATGGAGGTAATTTTTTAATTGTTGCTGTTTCAGGAAAAGAATCCCAGTGCTCCCAAGCAGTTCCCAATAGCAAAAGCCCGGGTCTCTGAGCACTGCTGACTCTGATCCCTTCAAGGTGGGGCAAAAGAAAATGCTGGGTTTCTAACAGCTCCCCATTAAACTTCAGCTTCTACTGAAGAGAAGTGTTTGTTTCCTTCCATCTGCTGCTTTTGCAAGGAAGGAAAATCAGCCTGTTCAGACACCAGGAAGTTCTTCAGCATGGGAACAGCTCGCTGTAAATGCAGGAACAATAACGGGCAGAAATTATCATACCTAAAAATACCCAGCCTGCGAGTCACACGCACAGCCCAGCCCGGAGCAGCTCGGGGTGGATGGAGCTGAGGATCCTCAGGATGTGCTGGGTGTGGGCAGCGCGGGGGCACCTGCCCGGCTCCGCTGAGCTTTTGCTTTCACCAAAACATGTTTGGCTTTTACGGGGAGCTGTCGGCTCCTCCAGCATCTTTGTGCACTGCAGCTGCCCAAGCCACTGGCAGGGGAGGTGAAAGCCACACCTGAGCAGTCAGAGCCCTCCAACACTCGGATTTCACGGACCCCATGCTCACAAGGGCGCTGTGTGAGCAGCTGGGGGGCCGCAAGGCCGGCACCAAAGGCAGCAGCGCTCCACTCGTCCCAGGAGAGCCAGGGCAGGTGAGGTGGAGCAGGGGATGAGGTGATGCTGTCCGAGCCGCTCTGAGGGCAGACAAAGCCCACAACCCGCATGTCACCCCGGCTGTGCCCTAGAGCTCACCGCCGTGGTGTCCCTGCCATCAATTCCTGTGCGGGCTGTGCCTTCAGAATTTGCTTTTCCGAAATTTGCGAGCGCGGGCCGCGTTTCCAGGGTAACCGAGCAGCCGCTGAGGGCTCTGTGGGGAGCGGCGGTGCCGGGGCTCCCTCCCTGCCCAGCCCTGCAGCAGCTTTGGCTTTGCACACCAGAATCCGCAGTTGTGCCACAGCAGGGGTGATGTGGGAGCTCCCAGGTGTGCAGGGAGCTGTGCGCTCACCTTGGTGCCGGCACATCCTGGATAAGGACTGAAGCAGCTCCAGCATGGGAAGGGTCCAGGCCTCAGCCGGGTCCTCGTCCCCTCACAGTCCCCAGCAGCTTGGTCCTGTGCCTCTGAACCCTCCATTGCTGCCAGAACGCATGGCTCTGCCGCACCGAAATGGCCCCGATGGCACAAATGAAGAGCTGTGTCCCTCCGAGCCAGAGCCCAGGCTGCCCTGCCCTGCGGGAGAGCCGGGAATGCCGCTGCTGCCAGCTCCTCACCCAACACGGCCACCGAGAGATCTGCCCGTGGGCTCACACTGCTATGGAAACACCTCCCCATGGAATTTATTTGGTCTCTGTGGCCTGAAACTCTTCCCGTGCGTGCCACAGCCCGCCACACCCTTCATCACCACGGGCAACCCAAGGGCTCCCCAGGATGAGACAATACCGGGAGCACTGGTTCTAGCCAGGGCATTTAAATTATTAAAATGAAAAATAACTGCATGGGCTGGATCCCAGCAAAGCAATTTGTAGCTCGTTCTTCTTTCTGATGAAATTGAATGTCGGTCTAACTTTGAAGTAAGAGCTTTGTATCCCAACAATGAACCAAGCCTGTGCAAGGAGAGGTCAGGTGCATTTTCATGAGAACTTGAACTCTGGAGCAACAGCAGGAAGGTGTTTTGGGGATACCTCTGTGCCAGGAGCAAGGACAGACAGATCACGGTCTCTCCATCTCCCAGAACGACCCCAACCTGCCCCAAAGTGAGTCCCTACAGAACAGTTCAAGTGTGAGAACAGCTCGTTTTGGTGGGACAAGGCTGGGAGCTTCGCTCTAGGGCTGAAAAGCTGGAGGACAGAGCCGGGCGGATCCCTGCTGTGATGGTGACACTCCAGCAGAACCACACCAAGATATTTAGGGTCGTTTTAACGTATCTGGAGGAAACATCGCCTCGCACAGCTTTGCCTGGACGGCAGGCAGGGCGGTGACACTCACCGAGCAGCTCCCGGTGCGCCCCGTTCGGCCACGCCGCTCCGGGCCTGCCCCGTTCCTCCCGGGGGCTGGGCCCGGCGCTCCCCGCCCTCCGCGGAAGTGATCCCGGGCAGGGCGAGCCGGGAGGAAGCGGCGGCTGCGGGCACGGCTGATCCGCACAGGCGGCGGCGGTGGTGATCCGGCAGGCGGTGGTGATCCGGGAGGCGGCGGCGATCCCGGGCGGAGGCAGCGGCGGTCCCGGGCGGCCTCACCATGAAGCTCATCATCCTGGAGAATTACTCGCAGGCCAGCGAGTGGGCGGCCAAGTACATCCGCAACCGCATCGTGCAGTTCGGGCCCGGCCCCGGGCGCTTCTTCACGCTGGGGCTGCCCACAGGTGGGTGCCGGGGGGCGGCCGGGCCGGGGCCCAGCGCGGGCCCTGCCCCGGCTGAGGCGGCCGCTCCCCGCAGGCAGCACGCCCCTGGGCTGCTACAGCAAGCTGGTGGAGTATTACCGCAACGGGGACCTCTCCTTCAAGTACGTGAAGACCTTCAACATGGACGAGTACGTGGGTGAGTGCCGCAGCCACCTGTCCTGGCGCCTTTGTCCCTGCCCGTAGGGAGCTGCTGGGCCCTTAGCCGGCAGAGCCTGGCGGTGCCCGAAATCCACCTGTGCAGGTAAGGGGGACAACATTCACAGAGTTACAGCACCAACATTCACGGAGTTACAGCATCAGCATTCACAGAGTTACAGAATTAACACTTCACAGTTACAGCATCAGCATTCACAGAGTTACAGCACCAGCTAGGATGGAAAAGAGCTCTGAGAGATCGGGTCCAGCCTGTGACCCCACACCACAGTGTGTCAGCTGAACCATGGCTCTGAGTGCCACATCCAGTCTTTCCTTAGACACCTTCAGGGAATTAGCAAAGGGGGACAATTTGAAAACCTCTGGAAGAAATTTGAAATTTTTCAATAGGTTTGGAAACATGTGGACAAACTGGATGCTGGTGTTGCCCAGTATTGCACACACTATTACAGACACTGCTGTGTGTTAGCTGCCCTCAGGCACTGAGCAGGCAAGAACAGCTTATCACTGCAGGCTCAGCATGCAGCTTTACCTTCCACCTTTGCCCGGGGGTCATAAAGGTCCCTTACAAAGACCGGTGTGGCCCCTGAGGGCCCTCAGGTATCTCCTGCTGAGACAGCAAAGGACTGCCATTGCTGAAGTCATGGTGAAACAGTCTCCTCAGAAGAAACAGATCCAAAGGTGAAAAACATACAAGCTAAAAATTTGCCAATGATAATTTTATCCTGGTCAAGAGGGTTTTTTTCTGTGAATAATCCCAATCAAGCAGCATTAGGGAATAAGCAGTCCAGTGTGGGTTTACAGCATTCAAGGAGGATAAACATGCAATAATGATATAATAATTATTATTTTCCATGCTTCTGCACAGTTTTAAAATAATTCCTACAAATATGAAATGGGAAAAGGGCTGGAAAGGTACTGACAGATGAGGCACAGCACACATCTGCTTTTTTTCACATCTGTTGTTTATTAATATGGGCATGTGTCTTACAGGAGCTGATTCTGGTATTTAGGGAAATAGAAACAACTCTGAAAGCTGAAGGTGTGACAAAGGACAGAGAGAGCAGCGCTCTGTCACCAAGCCACTGCAGGCTGTGGAAGTGATTTGTTATGGGTGATACTGTTCCAGTTGGCCTCAGTCCTGTGTGTTCTGTTACCAGGCCTCCCAAGGGATCACCCAGAAAGTTACCATTCCTTCATGTGGAATAACTTCTTCAAGCACATTGACATCTCACCAGAAAACGTCCACATCTTGGATGGAAATGCCCCTGATCTCCAGGCAGAGTGTGATGCATTTGAGGAGAAAATCAAAGCAGCTGGAGGCATCGAGCTCTTTGTTGGAGGTGAGAACCCGAGAACAGCAGCCTCTAAACCCTATCCCAAACCTGTGCCTGTCCTCCCCAGCTCTCATTATTGCCATCATTGTTCACTTTCAGTGCATTTGCAGTGAAATCCACCCCACAGCCCGTGGCCCTGGGCACTGCAGTGTCCTGGCAGCCTTGTCTCCCCACCCACCACTGCCAGCTTTGGGTCTTTAGTGCAGTCAGTGAATTGTTCAGGAAGTGCGGGAAGGGCTAGAACTGTACAAATGTGAGGTATTTATCAATTGTCAGTGGCAACAGGAAACTGCTGGGAGTGGCTTTTCCCACACAGTTTGCCAGAAGGTTCTGCCACCTCCTTTGTCTGTCATTGTCCCAGCGCAATCAGGGCATTGCTGGTTGTTCCTAGCAGACACAAATCTGAGCTGGAGCACAGGAACTGCAGGGTTTTTTCTCAGCTCTGTGCTCCCAGGAGCACTGTCTGGGAGAGCTGCTGGCTCTGCTGCCACAGCTGACCCTGTGCTGTCACTGTCCCTGTCCAGGCATCGGCCCCGACGGTCACATTGCCTTCAACGAGCCGGGATCCAGTCTGGTGTCCAGGACACGCGTGAAGACCTTGGCCATGGACACCATCCTGGCCAATGCCAGGTTCTTTGATGGTGACCTCTCCAAAGTGCCCACCATGGCTCTGACAGTTGGAGTAGGCACTGTCATGGATGCCAGAGAGGTGAGGAAATAAGAAGTGGCTTCCTCAGTTCCTCTGGAGCAGCCAAAGGTGATCCTGTTATGGAGCAGCCATGTGTCCTCTGGTGTAGGGTATTCCTGTCACAGAATGCCTGATGCTCCTGTCCTCTGGCACCCTGCAACACCATGGAGAGGCTCTTGCTCCTTCTCTGCTGGCACTTGTGTTTGTGTAACCCTGCAGCAGCCCAGGAAGGTTTGGGAGGGTGTCTTTGATTAGGAGTCTCACCTGGAGAGTAACTGGAGACTTGATGTCACACCAGCAGGCCATGAAACTGTGTGGGACCACTTTTACTGGAGTCTATTCTTGACCTACACTTGTGAAATCTCAGTGTCCAGGTGCCCAAAGGATCACTGCAGTGACCCAGCAGGCTGTGATTTCAGTGAGAGCTGAAGCAGCCAGAGCAGCAGCAGCAGCAGCACAGAGAAGTGGCTGTGGGGAGGGTGGCAGGGGTGTCCCCACTCTCAGCTTGGCAGGCTGTGGGTGGGCTCTCCCTCACTGCCCCTCTCTGTCTGGGGGTGCAGGTGATGATCCTGATCACGGGAGCCCACAAAGCCTTTGCTCTGTACAAAGCCATCGAGGACGGTGTCAACCACATGTGGACGGTGTCGGCCTTCCAGCAGCACCCCAACACCGTGTTCGTGTGCGACGAGGACGCCACGCTGGAGCTCAAAGTCAAAACAGTGAAGTACTTCAAAGGTGAATGTTTGACCAGGCCAGCCAGCTGCTCTGTTACACTTTTAGGAGCCACAAGCCATGCTTTGCAGAGGTATTGCTGTATAAGTAACTCCCAAAGGAGTATATTCCTTACATATATCACAGTAGTACCTGTGAAGGTAAATGCTTAATGCTTGGTGTGGGAGCAAAGGCACAAGGACAACAGTAATGTCTAATTCCATTAGCACCCAATGAGGAGAACTTTCCTTTATTATGTCTATTTAAATTGCCTTTTGACTCTCTCCATTAGGTTTAATGATGGTTCACAACAAGCTCGTGGAGCCCTTGTACAGCATGAAGGAGATGGGAGCAGAGAGGAGCCAGTCCAAGAAGCCATACAGTGATTAATGTGCTAGGGCAGTGCTGAACCAGCTGCTGAAAACAGCTGGGACAAAAGGGAATTGCTGCAGAAACTGATCTCATATTTGTTCTTAAATTAGCAGAATGATCATGTGGTTCCTTCTCTCCATTAAAGAGACAGATGCCAAACACCTGCCTTAATTAACCAAAGGAGGATGGGAGCCAGTGTTCTGTGTTCCACAAACTTCTGCCACCAACTCATTCTCTGAAGGAAATGAAGGATGAATTGTTTGATCTGTGATCTGGCTGTAATCACAGACTGAAGGCTGCAGAACTGAAATGTGAGGATAAATGAAAGTACAATGTTTCAGAAACAAGTGGATGATAACTCTGGGGCGTATTCCTTGCAATTAGGACAAGTATCTCCTGTTATTCCTTCCTCCTCCACGAAACACTTGCATTAGAATCCTGGAAAAGAGGATTGTCCAGCTGGAGAAGGGAAAGCTCAGAGCAGCAGCCAGAGCCAGGAGAGGGCAGCAAGAAGATGGAGCCAGGGGGAAGAAGAGAAGGGACAGTGGGGTGGGAGTGGAGACACGATGCTCACGCTGGAGAGGAAAAAACCCCACTCACTGTGGGAGCTGCCAAACAGTGGGACAGCATCCCCATGGCTCCCTCCTTGGGAGGCTGCCAAGACCTGCCTGGATAAAGCCCTGGCTGAGCCCTGCTCTGAGCCACATGTTGGACTTGAGACCCCTCAGCAGAAGAGGCTCCAGCAGCATCCCCCACACGGGGTCCAGGGTGCAGCTCAGGCACCTGAGGATGGCACTGTGTCAGGCCCAGGGATGATTTGCTATGCCTGCTGCTCTCTCCAGAATTTTCAGTTTCTCTAAGGAGAAGCCAAATCAGCCCCAAAGGAAACACTCTGTTCCCACTGGCTTCAGCCTCTGTTTCATTACAGACACCCCACACAGGTGGACAACAGCGAAGACCCCACCAATTCTGAAATGTGACTCCTGGGATTTCTGTCCAGTCCTCTCACACAAGGGGCAGGAAAACTGGGCAACATTTATTTTCTTTACACAAAGTTTTGTAAGTTGATCCGTAATGTAACTTTCTCCACTAAATGTCTTTAATTTTTTAAATGGTGACATTTGAGTGTGTCTGGTGCTCGGTCTCAGTGTGCTGAGGGTAGCAAAGCTGTCCTGGAGGCAGTTTGGTGCTCCCACCTTCCTTGCCCAGTGTTTCCTCAGAGGGAGAAGCAGCCCTCGGGGTGGGAGGGCACTGTGCATGCACTAAATCCCATGAGCAGCACACATCCCTGCCAGCTCCAGCTGGGAGCTCTGGGCTGGCCCACCCCCAGGAGCACCTGGGCACACCTGTGCTGCCAAATCCATGCCACGAGGAAGACAAAGAGGGACACTGTGTTTACCATCTTAAAGTGAATTTAGTGCATGTGAAAGGTGCAGGAAAACAAACCATACACACCATAGACTTTTCCTACACACTGACCTAGAGATTCAGCTGAGGTGAGATTTGCTCTTCCTTCCAGCCTTTTAATCCCTGTGCCAGTTCCAAGAGTGCAGACTCCTCCTCTGCACGGGAAACTGC